TTCCATCAAAATATGGAGGTACAGAAAGTGATTGACTCATCTGGACAACTATGAGTCCGGACTCGAGATTTGGCTCTGATACCACTTGAAAAGTCTATAGTTCAACCCAAACAACACCTAGAGGGGGGATGAATAGGTGTTTATGCGGAATTTAACAATTTAATTAACTTATGCAACATGTCACATAAATTACGCTTTGTCCAGATTCATTCACATAATTTAGCTACCTAAGTTGAATTGCCGGCTGAAATCAAAACAACAGAAAGCAATAAAAACGTAACAAAATGTTGACGGAGAAAACCCAACTGGGTAAAAACTCCGGGCACAAGCCAGTAGGTATCCACTATAGAAGATTTCGACTTACAGTACACCAGACATTATTGACTCTAACAATACTCTGACCTCCTTACTGTATCAACCAAAGCTCTCCTGGATTTTGCAGATCGGCGCCAAAATCCCAGCCTTGAATTTCTTCTATCTCCCGTGAATCATCAAGCACTCCAGTTCTTCAAGCAGTTTCCTTCCCGAATCTTCAAACAGATGATCTTCTGGAAGTTGATATGGAGATTTGAACGGTGTTTTGGTTTTGTGAAGGTTGATGTTTTTCTTCAATGAATCATAAGATGAAAAGAAAGAATTTTTGGCTCTAGATCCTTTGGTTGCAGAGAGAAATTGTTATTTGTGTGTTTGCCAAAGGTTTTGAATGAAAAACGAAATTTTTGTTTATGTAGTAAGTCGTTTTTGGTAGTAGGGATCGTTTAAAATTCACAAGGAAGGAAAATTACCAAAAGCCAGATAGCATTGTCGCTTGAGCGAAGTGCTGGCGAAACTCGAGCGACACACCTTCGCTCGAGCGACCCCTCAGCGAAACTCTAGCGACAATAGTTCTGTTATTTAGGCTCGAGCGAGGTCAGGGCGAAACTCTAGCGAGATCAACGCGCCGTTTGCATCTTCAAAGCATCCAACTTTACCCTAGACCTATGCTATAAACTTTGCAAAATTGCAACACAAGTCCCTGAACTATTAGAACTTTACAATTTAGTCCTTGACTTTACAAACATGAAAAATTGGTCCTTTAGTCACAGATTGCCAATTACAACATTTTCCTAACAGCCAGTTAGCCTGATTCTCTGTAATCCTTTCAAATAGATCATATGCTTCATCTACTTCCATCGTCAAAATCGATTCGCCTGCTGAAGCATCTACAATATTACGAAATTCAAAGCGCAATCCATTGTAGAAGAGATATATTTGCGCTAGTTTAGGGATGTCAAGATTTAGACACTTCCTCAACGCGCTCTTGAACTTGTCCCATGTTTTTGGATGTCTCAAAGTCCCTCTGTTTGAAAAGATATACTTTGTTTCTGATTTGATGGACTCGAGACGGCGGGAAGAATTTAATGATTAATTTTTGTACCATGTCATTCCATGATACAATCCTCCCAGGAGGTTGTGACATCATCCATATTTTTGCACCCTCCTTCAGAGTGTGAGAAAATAGACGCATTCGAAATACACCCCGTGACATCCCCTCATGGCTAATTACGTTACATAACATGGTAAAAGCATGAATGTGTTCATGTGGATTTTTTGCAGCTTTTTCGCTAAACTTGATGTCTTGATGATTTTGAAACAGGTTTATGACATTTGGTTATATGTGGAAGTTAACTTGTCCAAAGGACGAATAGATGATCATAGGTTGAAGTGGATTTGGTATTGGATTAACATAATCCCGCCACTAATACCGACCGAGCAGGAGGTGGTTGCTGAACTGAAAATGCTACATTCTGTCGTGCATCTAGAATCTGATTCTGATTCTCAGCCATTATCCTTACTCTTCTCTGTTATCTTCGGCGTTGCTTAAACGTCCTTTTGATCTCGGGATCTGTTGGGAGAATCTTGATCTTATCAAGATCTTGCATAAAATGGTAGAAGCCTGGGAAGAGTGAAAGCAAGAGGAGATCAGGTACCTCAATTAAAGCTTAAAAAACAAAAAGAAAAGAAGAAAAAAATTAAATTTAATATTAACTACTAAACTAAAATTAAATCCGTTATTCCCAGGCAACGGCGCCAAAAACTTGTTCTTGGGAAACCTACAAACGTATGGGATTATTGACAAGTAATAATGAAGTGAGTTGTGAGTTATCGTCCCACGAGGAATAATGTTTAATTCTAGTTCACTAGTTACAACTAAATTCCATGTTCGTGACACAAAAGATGTGATTCTGTTATTTAAAATAATTCTAAACTAAGGAAGCAATAAAAATATTTTTTCTTATATATGATTGATTATATTGGATTTTGATCCCCCATTGCCATTTATTTTAATTCTTAATTCGTAATATAGTTAATTTCATAGTTTTGTGACAATTGATAACACTAGTGTATTTAATTTTCTTTTTCAAGACAAATTAAATCTATTTTAATCATGATCCAATCCTATTTCTAATCCAAATTCATATGACCAAAATGCATTAAATTACAGGTTATCTATGTGATTGCATATGTGATAAAGATTGTTCATAATTCTATCTACAATTGCTTCATAGCCATTGCTTGACATGATGGAGAAAACATGGGCCGCCATGTGCCTTGCAGTTGAGGGCTTACGTGGTGTTTGCTCTCTTGCTGGTGTTCTCACGGAATCCTCATTGAATCATGGATGTAACCATAGTCTCCTAAGTCTAAGTCTAATATTCATGTTAGACAAAGGACTTTCTTGTATGGATAAATGTTGATCTATGCATTGTTGAGTGGATAAATTTTGATCTACGCACCATCATGTAGCAGTCACCTTGTGCTTAATTCAGGGCAAAGCCTATGAGCATCCCGCTATCTTCGTGTTTTGAAGTCCCATTTTTGTAAAGATGGCGTACGAAGCATGTTTAACAAGTATAACAATAGTCTCCCCAAGTCGAAGTTTAATTATTAATATTGGATGAAGAACTTTGAGACAAGGACTTGTGTAAGGTGAAATGATCAATTATCCACGTAGCAATTCCCTATGGCAAAGGGAAAATATTCGAGGACATGTGTGAGTCTCTGAGAAGACGTACTAATGCTGGTATTGATTAGAGTGATAATTATGTTGGCAATTGTTTCAAATTACAAAACAGCACAATCATGAGGAAACATCATTCTATGAATAGCTGGAGCACACTAGGTCAATCCAAGACCTGCATTCAATTTCACACCATTGCCTTTTGGGGATTTATGGGCTAGGATTGACTCATTTCACCAATGTCCTTACTTAACATATGTCACCCTTGTTTGCTAAGATGACTTTAGATAATTCTAACTTTCCAAATCTATCTGATGAGGTACGTACTAACCTTGAGATCAAAGAATCATCGTTCTTGTCTTCAGATGCTACCCAAGAGGAGAGGCCATGTACTGCTCGTCATTCGTATAGGTTATCGTAGAACAAGACTATATTGAGATGGTGGTTTGCACGATCCTCTCATTCAGAGACTATTTATTGGTGAGGCTTGCAAAGAGGGCAAAGACATCGTAAAAGGCCAAGGCAATGGAAGTGATGGCAGTAGCGAGGTTAGGATCAAACGAGTCTATTCCAGTATTAAGGCCTTCGTTGGAGAATCCAAAGGCATGAAATGGAAAGACATTTATGTATTTTGTAGATAAGGCAGGAAATTGGAAAAATTTATGCAAGATTTGATACGCCATTGGAACAAATGAATTTGATCTCATATCACGTGTTCAGTGATCTCGTCTACCTAAGTTGTGTGTAGAAGATTCAACTTTATCATTGACATTTTGGTAATTTCTTTTGGTAGGCCTTACGTTTCAAATAACACAAGATTTCCTCTTTTGGAATTACATCATCAAATTTGTCAATGCATATCATTGAATAACATTGCGTGTATTTTATTTCCTATAGAAAACTATGCAATATATTGAATGTCGATAAACTTATAATTGCAAAATAATAAGATAAATAATTAACATAATAAATACGTTCTCTCTCTATCAATTAGAACAAATCTCAAAATATCAATCTTTTGTTCATCCTTGCGATAAGATTCTCTTGAACTCTTTGAGCTACTATCACTTTAATGGGCAATTCATATACGTACGCTAATAAGTCTCTCATAATCTTTGGCTCCACAAAGTGAAGCCAGGGACCAATAAAATATATTCACATAAGAGTTGAAATAATTGAGAAACGAAATTAATTTAAATTGTTGAGAATATCATTAATGGAAATATTTGAATGTATGTCAAAATATTAATGTTCAATAAGTTATGTTGATTTACAAACATAAATATGAATGTCAATTCATTATAGAGGTAATTATATTTGTACCACAATTTTTATTTTCACATTTTAATAGCACTTAAAATTCTTAATATGTTCATTATATCACTTATTTTCCTAACAATTTTGCATGTCATTCTTATCCCCTAAACTATCATTAGTTAACACATTTTATATTTGATAATAAATTTATATTCAAAAGTTTGTTAAAATGATGTAAAACAACTTATTTTTTTCATCATTTTTTCAAAAAATAAATAAAAAGCACAAAAAATATTTTTCCCTTATTTCAAAGCATAAAAAAAATATTTTGATATAAATCATCATTAAGGATGAGATGTACTAATTAATAAAATGTTGAAGATAAGAATCCAACGGAAAAAAGTTAAGAAAATAATTATTAAAATGAGTAATGATTAAAGAGTTTAACTGCAATTAAAATGTGATGTATTAAATAAAAATTATGGTGACAATATAATCACCCTAAAATTAAATATTATATTAGACCAAAAATAGAATAAATTTGATTAATTTAGCCCCTATTTGATGGCTATTATTTGGTAGAAGTAATGTTTTGAATGGTGATTTTTAGAAGAATGAGTGATCAATAAATCAATCCCGCTATAGGTATAGGAACATTTGACAAAAAAATTACAGAAATTTAAAATGGTAGACGTGGCTGTAAAACACGCGACTTCTTCCCCAAAACATACGACTTCTTCCCCATTAAACCCAAATGAATTTCAATTGACGCACACCTTCTTCCCGATTTCCCCCAAATCACACCGACACACACGACTCCTCCCAAACCCAAGGTGGCCGTCGTACTTACCATCACCACCAGTGGCGCCGACAAAGGAACATCTCATCCTTCACATTTACACCCTGGCAGCCACGATTCGTCGGTGCTAATGTAAGTGTTTGTTAAATAGTTGTCTTCCATGGATTTTGAGATTGTAAAATGGGTTAGTAGGTTGGGTAATGATTTTTAACATGGATTATGAGGTTGTCTCCGAATTCGTGCACTGTTGAAGGTTTATATTTTTTTTGAGCCCTTTGGACAAGAATGATTTTCTCTCTTTCTCTCTGTGTGTATCTAAGAATAGATACCATGCTTGAGCATAAAGTGAACCCACGAAGGAAAACTATGTAGATTGGTCAAGAGTTTTACATATCGAGCTTAAAGTGTTTGAATTGGTGATTTTGAAAATGTAATAACAAATTTGAAACACATTTGCAATAAACTGGACATTTGAAGATGACACTACCCATTCCCTAGAACTCCCCAATCCCCATCGGAAGACTTGCAGTTGAAATATAATCCTGGCCATCCTTTGCTCTCCCAATCCTGCACATATTTTTTCTGGGTTATGTAGTTGTGGTGATATATTTTAATAGTAAATGAACCCATGAGTTTGTGTTTATCCTATATTCAATCTTATGTATTTATAATCAATCATGTAACTACAATGAGGTTTTCTATCTTTTTTGTTTCATTTGCAGTAATCGGCTATAATGAGAGGAAGGAATTTTGGGGTCTGTCACAGTTGCAAAAGCAATGCGCACTACTTAGAACAATGCCAGTTGAAATGTTGGTGCCCTAGTTGTGACCATGGATATCGAAAATGTTTTGAGGTGGAACGGGATACAGGTAACAAATGCCGATTGTTCTTTAACTGTAGTAATGACCGTGGGTACTTCAATTGGATGAAAGATGCAGCTTTAGGCGGGGATTCAAGTTCCATTAACGATATGGTCAATGAGGCGCCCGACAAGGAAGACGATGAGCTTCCAAGATTATTTGATGGGCTAGCCAAAATTAGCGAGAAACGCGGCGTCGACATTTCGTTGCACTTGACATTTAGCAAGGGAAAATGAATTGAGAAATGTGATGGGAAAGGAAAGAGCTCGGTTTGAAGGGGTGATTTTAGTCATGTCTTCGATTGAAGTAGTAGTATGATCTCTTAGTTTTATGCATGTCTAATCTGCATTTAAATGTGGTTTGTAAGATAAAAATGGATGAGTTAGGATCATAGTTAGTATACATGGATTGAATTTCGTTTAGTATGATCACTACAATTAAGCTTTACTTGGATTGATTTTAGAAAATTGCACCACGGTTGACTTTGGGATCCCAGCATGTTTTTGCAGTTAATATGGATGATCTTTCAAAAGATGTCATTGAAAATAAGTTTACCTTGAATAATTGACCGACTCAGTGGGCGTGTATAAATTGTTCTCGTCCATAAATTTTAGTGTTCAAGATATTATATGTCATTCTACCATCAAATTTTCTTTTCTTCTGGTTTGGTTTTACATTACTTTGAAATTGTAATACTGATTGTTTAATGAGTTCAAACGTCCATATTCCAGACATTGTTATTAATTAATATTCAGGCTGTTCAACTTTTCATATTTATGTTGAATTTTTTAAATTCTTACAAGGCAACTACTTTCCGTATTGGTTTTTTGGTTTGCTAATGCCAATACGTATGAATCTAAATCTAGCTTCTAAGAATAAATGGAATAATCTTATTTTATGCTCACATTATTGTCCGATGAATCTATTTTCTCACTGGAGTATTTCTTGATTTATATTTTAGGTATATTATGGTGCCAGCATCTTTGTACCTTGGATTTGCTGCTTCAATAATATGGGTTGCACAGGTTCAATAAGTTGTTTCAACATCTGCTGCGTTTTATCATCTAAGTTGACACACAAGTTATCATCTAAATTAACAATGACATAACTCCCACAGTGAGAAAACAAATAATACAACCGAATAGTTGGTTTGCTGTTGTTTCATACTCTCGCTACACTATATTGTCGACATGCCTTCTCGCTACACTGTATTGTCAACATGCCTGCCCAAAACATGGTTTTCAAAAAAAAAAAGGCACCCAACGACTTCTGTTCTCGTATAATCCTAATAGCCAATCACTGTCATGCAACTTATACATATCGAGCATCGACCTCCAACCTTCTTCAAATTGTTGCACATCCTCGGAGTCATATACCAGTCCATGTATAGCAAAAAATATCGAGCTCTTCTGAACATGGTATCCGAATTTTTCAGGCAATCTTTTCATAATGTGCCATAAGCACCACCTATGTCTTATGTTCGAAAAAACAATCTCAATGGTATTTTGCATCGCCCCGTCTTGATCAGTAATGATTCTAGTAGGAGCTTGACCGTGCATACACTCAAGCCATGTTCTGAACAACCACACGAAAGTCCCTATGTCCTCATTCGATAACAATCCACAGCCGAGCAATGTGGATTGTCCATGGTGATTCACGTCGATAAAAGGGGCGAGTGGCATGTCATACTTATTAGTGAGATAGGTAATATCAAAGGTGACAACATCACCGAACTCCTTGTAAGATTGCCTACATCTGTTGTCTACCCAAAAAACATTCTTGAGTCTACCTTCATCGTCCAAGTCCATACTAAAGTAAAAACCAAAGCACTGTGCTTGTATTTTTGAAAAGTACGCCTATATTGTGAATGCATCTCCTTCCCCAAGGCGTAAACGTCTCACCTGTTCAACGTAGTTCCGACAATCTTTATCCATAAAAGTCGTATTTTCATATCCACCAGCTTTGATAACTGCTGATTTATAACTCTTATGCAACGGAATTCCTGCCATATCATTTACTTCGAGCTTTCGTTTCACACTTGCACTCAATTTTCGGTTGCATCGGTACAACCTAGACTTGGATGGACTTGTTTTGTGGTTGTGATCAAGGTACACTTTATTAATCCTCCATATTCCTAGACTATCAAAAGATGCAAATATTCTTGCTTTACAATAGTTTAACTTGTTGGCTGCGGTTTCAAGGAACCATCTGTAGCATAAGTTCGTCAACCTTCACGACTACATGTGAATGTAACGTATCTCATAACTCCATCTTCCCCTTTTTTGAATTCCTTTTTCGCACTGAAAACCCTATGTCGTAAGCATATCTTTTGTAGAAGTCAAACATTTCCTTCTCATCACTAAACGTCATACCCACCTTAGGCACTGACTCCACATTTTCATTGTCCAACATATTCAAATTCTCCACAACATTCTCGTCATCACATTGTAGCAACACATTAGGATTCTCATCTTCTATAATTTCCTTTCCTGCCACAGAAATCAGAACATATTTAGGATGAAGTTTTCTTTGCATGAATGAGAAGTAAGGTATCGTCCAATTACAACATTTTCGTTTAACATGGCTACCACAAATAAATTGGTATAACAACATTTCTGCTTCGTTAAATAACTTGCATTTTTAGCCCAAATGATTAACTGAACCTCTATGTAATGATATCACACAATCACGTTGTTGTAGAGAATGAAATATAGAGAAAAATGCAGTGCCTACGCATATACACATAAAGAGCTCAATTTATTTCCCTTAAATACATATGAATCTGTACTTTTTCAATTTTTCTGAAGACTAAAGAAGCATGATATAAGCTAAATAAAGCCATTTTAGCAGAAAATCAGAGAGGGAAAGGTTTAGACAATAGATAGGAATTTCCAATAAGTAATCAGAACAAATGTATCATATTCGCACCAATAGCCTTCTTCATCAAGATACATCATACATTTCCCAACCCATTAGATATTCATTTAACCCATTAGTATACTTGTCTGTTACCTGTTTCCATAGAGTTACGACAGAGATTTTACCCGGTGCCGACTTGAAATGATGAGCAGAGAGTTGCAAGTGAATGACGAGCAAAGAGTTACAGTTACAGTAATGACGAGCAAAGAGTTACAGTTACAGTAATGACGAACAGAGAATTGAAATGACGAGCAGAGAGTTACAGTTAAGGTAAAATCTTCATTTCCATAGCCAAGTTGAGTCCATTTCTTCAAACCATCGGGAAAATCGAAATGGGTATCGCTCCAAACAACCTCTTGTAAGGTGGCTTCTTCGTTGGAGATGGTGCAATGCGCCGGTCAATCGAGATGGGTATTGGCGAACGGTTGGGTTCTGCTTCGAAGGCAATTGGGGCAGTTGGTTTCTATTTTGGGAGGGAAATAAGTGTGTCTTCCCGATTTTTTACAAGAGCCAAATGAATTTTTTGCCACACGTGACTCTTTATTTTTTTTTTTTTTTTTTTTTTTTTTTTTACATAAAATGGTTGCCACATCAGACATTTTTGGATTCCTGTGACTTTTCTATCAAAGGGTATCTGTACCCACAGCTTAATTGTTAATAAATAGGGAAAAAATTTCGTTTACATGCAAAATATTTTATTGTATGAATGTATGATTGAAAATGAGCATATAGAAAAAAGAATTTTCAAAAAATGAATGTAAAACATGGTTTAGTCGTCTAATAGATATGCATATAGTAGGCATATTGTAACGACCTAACCTTTGTGTCCAAATCGTTAGTATAAGTACTGTCTGTTATGAGAGAGCATGAGTCTATTTTACCCTTCAAGATTCAACTTAAGTCTTATTTAAGGAAAATGTCATGGGTTCGAATCCTGGTGATGCGATAAAAATTCGTAAGGGATAAAATGGGTTCAAACTCTTCCATAACGAACGTTATTATGTTAACAGCTTGTGCATAGAGGTTGAGCCATTATAAAAAATACATATTTTTAATGACATAGCTTTCGTTTCTCTATGCCCAAAGCATTAACTTATGTATTATCCACTTTGGGAAAGTCTAAACCCATTTTATCCTGCAAAAATTTTTATCGCATCCCCAAGATTCGAACCTTGACCCCCCTAAGAGATGTTTGCTATGGAAGAGTCTAAGTCTATCTTACCCTCACAAATTTCTATTGCGTCCTTCCCAATTGGAACTAGGATTCTACTTAAATCTTACTTAAGAAAAATATCATTTGTTTGAATCCTAGAGATGTAATAGAAATTCACGCGGAGTAAGATATGCTCAAACTATTCTATAGTAGATAGTACGTATACTAGAGGTTTGGATATAAAGGCTGGATTGTTACACATGTAATGGTAAAAAGCAAAAGACACCACTCACACCTTCAATAATACATGTATCTGATTGTGCTACATGTACATCACAACTTACATATTTGTTTATTAATTAAAAAAAAAAAAACTTTCCCACTATCTTTTTAACACATCATTAATCTATAAAAGTTTATGTAAACAGATATGTAGAACAAGCATTTTCCATATGTATGTCCCCTAAATCAAAGGCTTAAGAACGGTTATACTACACGTACATAAGAACTTATATAATGGTTTACCAGTAGATTATGTGAAGAGATTTAATTGGATCAAAATCTCTTCAATTAAATAACTTCTCCACTTATATTTTGACATCTCATCATTAAATAAATATTTGGATGGTTTCCATAAACTATTTGTGTCCGATTGTCCAATTAGAATGAAACACCAATGACTAAATTGCTATTTCTTAATTATAAAGGATCAATGTACTACTAAAACGATAGGCTGAGGTGCTAAATTTTATCATTTGGTTAATATAATCGAATATTTGAGTGGAAGGAATTCTTGAAAATCGTACGAACAAGTTAAACAAATGCCAAATAGCCACAATTTGTACCCAGTACCAATGTGTGTTTGTTTGCGAGAGATTAATTTGAAGTGTAAAATAATTTATTTATTTTTGTAGAATTGTAGTTAAAAAATAGATAAAAGTTATGAATTTAAGTAAAAAATTATTTTATTAAAAGAATGTATGAGTGAAAATGAATTAAGAAAAATAATTTTCAAATGAATTTTGCCAAACAAATGCTTAGCATTGCTCAACATTGTGATCATTGTACCTAAATTAGGCACTTTATATGCAAATATTATGCGTGCACCTTTTGATCCATTGATGTTTAACATCAGTATAGGTTACAATACTTGTGATATTAAATTATAAGTTCAATTAAATACAATAATTTATGACCTAATTAATGGAATCCATAATATGTTGACACCAAACTAGTGCTTAAGATCACCAGTGTAAGATAACATTATCCGATGTAAAAATGGGTTCAAAATCTAATTAACCGACCGATTGATCAATCAATTTTCTCAATAAGGGGGTGTTTGGTATTGATTTTTCACCCAAAAAAATCAATTTTTTTGTTATTATTTCATTATTCAAGTCGTCATTTTTTACCATTTCTCT